CGCGGTGGGGGCCCTTTGGAAAACAAGGATTGTCGGTGGCCGAGTTCTCGGATTGTAGACGGCTGGCCGGGACAGCAAGAAAAAAGCAAAAAATTGGCCGTCCCGATCGACCCCCGGCCGGCGGCAGCAGCAAAACATTTCAGAATAAACAAAAATTTGGAAGGGGGAGAGGTGAAAATGAGGCGGCGGGAAAAAGGTTCTTCCCAAATTCAAGATGATCCATGAAGTCCAGCGTTGAAAACGAAGAAATCCTGCATTGGCTTTGCTTTTTGATCCTTTGGGTTTGGACGTAGGCTTTGGCTTAGTTTTAGGCTTGGGTTTGGGCTTAGGCTTAAAATTAAGCATACGCTTAGGCTTACACTGAAGCTCGGCTTGACTTGGGCTTAGGCTTGGGTAAGTGCTTAGGCTTGGCTTAGCCTGGCATGGGCTGAGGCTTAAGTTGAGGCTTTCACCGCATAAAATCAGAAAGAACCAGCGTTTTGCTAATTTGGACCCTGGAATATCGTTTGAAACATGCCAATATTAATTAAAACAAAAAATTGTGGTCTTAGAAAAGATCTATTCAATACACTACACTACACTACGCTACGATCGACAGAACATCACAAAAAATATCAGAATTAAGGTTTTACTACAGAAATCGCAACCTAAAAAAAAATACCCGGGCCTCGGTTCGGAGGTGAAGCCTTGGCCGGGCGCTGGCGGGGGCAGCGCGAAGAATCCACAAAAGCTCGGGCGGTACGGCGAGAGAGCGAGAGAGTGGGAGAGAGCGAGAGAAACAGAGAGAGGGCGAGAGAGCAAGTTGGGCAGTTATTCGTCAAAAGGAAATGGACGGAATTTCGGGGTGGGAAAGGGCCGCTAATCAGTGGGGAGGGAGGGGCGAGGGTTGAGAGAAAGTAAGGGAGGGAGTCAGAGAGAGAGAGAGAGAGAGAGAGAGAGAGAGAGAGAGAGAGAGAGAGGGTGAGAGAGAGAGAGAGAGAGAGAGAGCGAGAGAGAGAGAGACGGGGCTGCAGAGGCACACGGCTGTTCTGAAACAGCGGGGCCCACTGGCTGGCTCTCGGCTCGGCTGTCACATCGATTGCCGCCAGCCGCCGGGACCAACAGAGAGGGGCGAGAGAAAGAGAGAGAGAGAGAGAGAGAGAGAGAGAGAGCTATCCCTGCCATTTACACGCGCGCATCCTCCCCGCCATCCATTCCAAACACACAAATCGTGTACCCGCCCTCTAGCCGAGGCCGGGAAGTGATAGCAGCGCCACCCCCGGGGTGCGTGCGGCTAAAGCCCTGGAGGCTAATTAGTTCAAGGGAAAAGAGGGCCTAATAATTAAATGAAGCCCGGTGTCGAATTAAAATTAGACTGATATTTAAGGGGTGTTTTTCTGAGAAGTTTTTGGGACTTTTTGACTTTTTTATTGGCGTTTTTTAGAGTTTCGGATCGAGGTCTTCAAAAACTGTGGTTTTCCCGTTAAAAACATAGTTAAAAATTCCTAAATAAACTTGGCTGTGCTGCTAGACAAAAAGTTAATTTCATATTTCGTCCGAAAAACAACCGAATTCCAAAAAGAGGAAGCCATTGACGATGAGAGAGAGAGAGAGAGAAAGAGAGAGAGAGAGATAGAGCGACAGAGAAAGGGATTGAGAAAGATGCAGAGATAGAGAGAAAAAGAACGAGAGAGAGAGTGAGAGAGAGCAAGAGAAAAAAAAAATTTGAAAAATTCGTAATCCGGATCCCCTGTCTGTTTTGCTTGTTTTTCCGATTTCACGAATAAAATCTGGGGCGCATGTACGTGGGATTGAATGTTAGTGCTTTTGTGGGCTGTGCCCCGGGGATTATCGGCTTAGCGTGATGCCAAGTTAGTGCCCCTCCCCCAACGCCCCCCCCCCCCGTAGTCCCTGATAATAATACGTCAACTTTTTCGGGGGTAGATCCGGTGCAAAATTCAGAATAGATCCGGAATCTGGAGCAAGAATTATAACCTGTACTCCTCTGCATGAAAGGGATAGAGACAAGTAATACAACTCAAGGTGAAAGGCCAACCTTGCAGGATGCTGCATAATCGAATGGGTAGTTCCCGGAAATCCATACCATTTAGCTAAAAAATCCGCTACACTCCCCTGGCACGTGCAAAGACCAGCTGCCCTAAAAAAATAATCTACCCGGCACGTCTAGTCGGGGCGGTACCAGGAAATAATGGAAAAATGATTCATTCTTGACAGGAGTCTCGTGGTCCTGAAGAAGGCGTCTATTTGAGCTCGAGAAAAGATCTAGAAGGACGACAAGAAAATCCAACTTTTTAGGAAAAGGTACACGTAAAAATTTGTGTTCCAGAATTTTTCGAATCTCGCTCTACCTTTAATGGCAAAGCAGCTGCATAGAGCGGTTGAGAAAGAGAAAGAGAGAGTGCGAGAAACAGAAAAAGCAAGAGCGAGAGAGAGAGAAACAAGCGATAGAGAGAGAGAGAGAGAGAGAGAGAGAGAGAGAGAGAATGAGTGAGAGAGGGACAGCGTTTAGGCTTTGCCGGAAAATCCCGACGACAGCCACAGAACCCGACCGGCCGAAACCGACCATCAAAATCCCGACAGCCGAAATCTCGAGAAGCCAAAATCCCGACAACTATAATTCCGCCATGCAAAAGAGCTATTTACAAGGAAATGGCATTCAACGAGCCTCGAGAATCTTTCGAGATTTTGGCTGTCGGGATTCTGGGTGACGGGATTTTGGCTTTTGGCTGTGGGATCCGCAAAGGTTTACGCGGCAACGTTTAAACTTAGGTTTGAACTCATGCTCAGATCCTCGAGACTCCCCAGAAAATCACCATCCCCCAAACCGCACATCTCAAGCATCAATAAAAGATCACATGAGCCAGCAGGGGGGTGCCATTACGTATAGCCATGGGGGGATGTTTGGGACAAGCCGATTTTTTTTTTGCTTACCCTCTTGCCCCGACCGCCTCGAACGGCGCCAATTTTTCGCAGCTGATTGAGGGGGACTGGGAGGGGATGGGGATGAGCATTCTCGACAAAAAAAAGCCATATTTTATGGGCACCGGCATCGCCAAATTACAGCGTGCACAACAAGGAGGAGGACAATTTATCGAGCGTTTGCGGAAATTCGAGAGTAAGTAATCGAAATACTATGTAGAGATAGTTTTTGAGAAGAAAAACAAGAAACTATTGTCCTTTCGTTTTTCAAAAAATAAAAAAGTGTGGGGAGATGCAAGAAGCAATATCGCCAAGGTGCCATAGAAAAGCGAATGTTACAATTTTTTAATGCAAATTGAGTTTTACTTTTGCATTTTTACTTCGTGTATTGGTACCGAAGTTGTTTGTTTGCATCTTATTAAGATTTATTGAAGTCTCGGTCGTCAAGTAGTTTAATTTAAAACAAAATAGCTGTGCGAATTAATGCGGCGTTTAATTTTAATATCAAAAAATGTCAAAAAAATTAATTTTAATTTAATCGTGCAGTTTAATTTGGCGATCAATTTTTATGCATACGTTCAATTTCTATTCACCAAAAAGTACTTACAAAAATCATAGAAAATTCATGCTTAAGGTGATGGTGCTCATCAGTGCTGAAACCGAGTTTTGAGCGCGTGCGGGGCATTCAAGTTGCCCGTAAGAATTGGCTTTCCGGCCCGCTTTTTCAGCTCCACCTGTTTCTAGGAAATTACAATTTTGTAGTCGCGTGGGGGTCGTGGTTTGGTCTATTGCCTGCGCGACACCGATTTTGTAGCGCGACCTCGTGCGTCTCCAGGTATCGTTGCGGATCGTATAGTTGTTGTGTCTGGATTTTGGCAGTTTCCGTACCATAGCTCTGGTTGTTGGTTGTTGTCCAGGTAATTGCTGTAGAAATTCAGATTTTTTTGAGCTGAATCGGGCTGGGATATACCATCGCGTGACACCAATTTTGTAGCGAAATCTCGGCTTTTCGTATAGTTGTTATGTCTGGGCTCCGGCAGTGCATTTTTTCAAGGAATCTACACTGTCGCGTCCATGCCATACGGCGGACCAGTCACTAAAGGGAAAAATCATACAGCCCAGGTGTTATTTTTAGCTCTCTCAACACAACCGGCGTTTCTTTTCGAAATAAGCATACCTCCCCTCCGGATCCTCATCCTTCCTGGGCCCTCCGGCTTTTGCTCACAGTTTCTCGGCTCTCTCTGCCCCCTCTCGATCTTCATGTGTATCTCCACACAAAAACAGTCCTCCTCATCGGCACCTCATTTCACATTCAGCGCCTCAGAAAGGCAGCGAGGGTCGTATTGATCGCTTGGGGCCGATCAGATTTTTTGGCATTTGAATTTTCAAATCATATTGATTTTTATTTTGCTACGGGTTTTTGGGGTATTAGAGGGTCCTTAAGGCTGAGATTATCGCATTAAAGGGATAAGGCAGGCCCAGTAGATCGGGGCCCATCTATAATTGGCAACGAGCCAACCGGAAATGCTAGTGCAAAAAAGGGCAGAGGGCGGGGCAAGGCAGGAGGGAGCAGAGTAGATTTACTCTAATTTTAGAACCACACGCGTTATTTAGGATTTAGAACTGAACTAAATGCTAATTTTTTTCTGGAGCTTCCTGATCCCTTTAGTGACACATCAGACTGTTACTGCTAGAAGCCTTCAACGAGACGCTTTTTTATTCCAAAAAAAATTTTGATGCTGGGCGAACGATAGATAAACTGTGAAATAGAGAGGGAGAGAGCGTGAGAGAGATAGCGAGCATGCGATAGTGAGAGAGAGACAAGGTTAGGTCGAAGGTAAGCGAAGAGTAGCAAGCGAGCATGAGTTAGTTTTTTTTTTGGAAGGATTGCAGTTTGGGGCTAATGAAACCTTAAATTAACGTAATCGTAAGTGCAATTTTAAATTCATTCAATTTAAAAGGTTTCTGATTTATTTTTGAGCCACTTAGTTTTATAATCCGGGCTTTTTAGCGTTCAGCAGTTGCACTGTGCCACGTGGAGCCGAGAATTTTACGTCAGCTGAGCGTTGAGCATCACCGAGATGGAGGAGAAAAGTAGGGAAATGCGATTTTGAATATTTTTGCTCTCCCAGGAACAGTTTTTGCAGATTTTATTTTCCCAGCTTTCAAAAATAATTTTTAAACAGGCTAGTCGCGGCATCAAAAAGATTTTAGAATGCTTTGCAGCTGCCGTTTCCGGCTCCACCTCGATCGGGTCTTCGGGAAACAGCGATGGTATCATTCCTGCGATTCTTCCTGACGGTGACCCTGCAAAGCCTCGTACCGCAAGCGGAACTGCTGCCAATGCGTCGTTTGGGTCAAGCTCAAAAGACTGCGGTAGCGTTGTTGCGACCAAAACGACCTCAAAGCCAAAAATCGAGACTTACGATGATTTTCTGCAGATGATCACCAAGCGCCAAAATAGCGCATTGTCCGGGAAGCCAGCTGTAGCCGCTGCCGGTTCCACTTTGATTGAGTCTTCACGCAATAACGACGATTCTGTGGCTGCCGAAATGAAGGCCCGAATCACTTCTGAAGTGCCTGCCGTCGATAAGTCCTCAACACCTCGAATATCGAGCGGAACTGCGTCCGCCGCACCTTCCGGATCCGCAACCACAACCGCCCAGAAGCGACGCATCGAGACCTACGATGATGTTCAGCAAATGATAAAGAGGCGCCGGAATACCGCGGCGTCCGTGAAGCCCGCAGCGGCCGCTTCCGGCGCCACTTCGATGGGGGCTTCAAGCAATTACGATGATGCTACAGAAATGAAGTCAACAACGACTTCTCAGACTAGTGCCATCGAGAAGTGCACAACTTCTCGAACGTCAAGCGGAACTGCCGCCACTTCGCCGTCTGGATCAACCTCAAAAGTCGGTAGTATCACTGTCGCGACCATAGCGACCCCAAAGCGAGGGATCGAGACGTATGCTGACGTTATGGAAATGATAAAGAAACGCCAAGGCGGCGCCATGAAGACGGCAGCAGGCGTTTCCGGTTCCACTGCGATCGGGTCTTCAAGCAACAAGGGTGTTAGCCAGGCTGCCGAAATAAAGCCACCAACGATTCCTGAGGTTCCTGCCGTCGATAAGCCTGCAACGTCTCACGCATCCGGTGGAGCTGCGGTCATCGCATCGTCCGGATCCGCACCCACAACTGACTGGCCCGAAGCGACCGATCAAGACGTTAGGTTATTTTATCGAAATGATCAAGAAACGTCAAGAAAGCGCCAAGTCCGGGAAAATTCTTCCGGCCCCGACCATAGCTACGCCGAATCGAGAGCTCCCAACTGCTAGTAAGTCGCTTATTTTGGGTTAAAGGGACCGATACGTCCAGATTTTGGAATTTTGCATTCAAAAGACTTGGGATTAGGCGCGTAAACGGCCCGAAAAATCCAAAAAATTCCACATACTTTTTTAGAATCGGCAACAGCCCAGGACGCCAATGAAAGCCCCCCTGAATTGAACCGCGACACCTCGCAGCACGAACTACGCCCAAAATCCGTTTCATAATCGGTTTTAGATCTTGCGTAAAGTGGCATAATTCTCCTTTAATAAATGCAAATGATCGGAAACTTAAAAGTAAAATACATCCAATTTTGTATTTTGGTGAAACGTTTTGGTTCGATGATCATTGTAGCGCGGCGAGTTGCTGAAAAAAAACAGATTTACTTATATGTTACGGGTTCCTGGCCAAAATTACTTGTAACCGAGCACCCCCATAAAATATCAGCCAAAATCATGCCTGTTCCTTGTCGGCGATGCTCTTCTGGAGAGCCTCGATTTCTTGGAGACGGTGGTTTCTGAAAAAGTGAAAACAATGTAGAGTTTTTGGCTTTGGCCTGCATTTATCGACTTTTGATCTCAGTTCCGATACTATTAATGTAGCTAATAAGGAACAGGATTTAAAAATCAATAAAGGGCCTTTTTTTGAAAGTCTGGCTCGCTACCGTATCGTGGTGTTGCTGTGGAGCGTAGCGTTGGCCCTGTCCACAGTATCGTCACGTTGGACTACCGTTTGCTCGAGCTCCTAAAATAAAAAGTTCACGTGGATCATTAGCTGAAGGTCGGGCGTGAGAGTGGGCCTGAGTTTGAGCTTGAGCTTCTAGATCTAGATTTTCTAGATCCTCACCTTTTGTTTTTCGTTTGTCGACTTCTGGAGGTTTTGATACTTTTTCTTAAGTCGTCTAAGCTCAATCTGAAAAACATATTCTCTTTCTCTCATTCTCTTTCTCTCTCTCTCTCTCTCTCACTCTCTCTCTCTCTCACTCTCGCTCTCTCGCTCTGTCTCTCTCACCTGTTTCTCCTGCCTCTCCGCCTCGATCTTCCCAAAATCCATATCCTTGTAGGGCGCTACTTTAGCCTCAAGCTCCAAGATTTGTTTTCTATACCCAAATTTTTCTACAAAAACCGTATTTTACGTACTTTTTAGTCTCCAGCGTCCCCTTCTGAGCTTCCAACTGCGTCTTTAGGCGCTTCACGCTTTCCAACATTTCGTCCCTTCTCTTCTCCACCTCACTTTTCGGCAAAATCGACGAGTTCGAGTTGTTCACGTGTTCTTCTGCCATCGAGGCTGCACCTGGAAGACAGTCGCAGTATTTTGAGGCTTGAGCTGGAGGCACAGGCCCTTGAAAAGACGTGGGATCTAAAGTTTCCCCCTAGGGTCCACCAGGTCTCGACAGATGATGCTAAAATGCTAAAACACATTGATGATTGTCGAGTTTCACGCAGATTTACGTCACCAGATTTGGCATAGCGCATGTTGTCTTTTTCGCTCCGCACGAATTGTCGAGACCTAGTCGAAGCAGGGGTCGATTCCGTGGCTCTACGCTTGAAAACGCTAAACCTACTTTCCAACATTTCTTGCTCTTTCTCCAAGGCTCTCAAATGCGTATTCAACCTTTCCGCCTCTTCCCTCAACGGTCCGAGTTCTTTCTCTCGAGTTCCCGCCTGGAAAGTCATTCTCTGAGCTTGATCTTTTTAACCACCCCGAGGGCCCGCTGCTAGCTGGCCGCAAGACATTAAAAAAATTAAAATTTCTGGGTTTCTCACTTCTCTGCTCAGCTTCAACTTCCGATTTTCCAGAGCGGCTTGCTGACGTTGGATACTGACCAGCTCAGACCTGTAAGAGTGTTTTCCATGATTCTGGAGGATGGGAACGTGTTCAGTATATTCGTAATCAGCTCTTCCGCTTGAGAAGTTGGGAGAGAGAAAGTGAGAAAGAGAGAAAGAGGGAGAGAGAGCGACAGCGAGAGAGAGACAGACAGAGAGAGGTGCAGAAACACCCCCCGGCAAACCTCATCTTGGACGTTCGCAGCCGCGGAGCATCGATGTTTAACGAAGCGTCAGATGCGGGACGTGATTTGCTGTCCTGAAGATGTCGGAGATTCAGTATTTCAGTTCGTTTTTGATATTAAGCGTATAGAAGATTTATTACGCGGTTTTCTTGCCTCTCAAACCCTTTCAAACCTCGCCTTTGCGAATAAGCCATTAATTTTGCAGGGTTCCCGAAAATTTTGGGAGAGCGCTTGCCCTCCTGCTGCTCCTCCCAGGCTGCCGGATCTGCTGCTGCACCCCCGGGGGGTAATTGGAAAGTTTTCCTCTCGGCAAATCGAGGGCAAGGGTTGGTTGGCCAGTGAACCTTTGGCTTCATCCAAAATTCCACCCCAAGTGGGTAATTTGCATAATTTCTGCCTCAGCGCAGTCTTCTTCAGGGGTCTCATCATCCTAATCACCGCACCTAGGCCGTGCTTCTTGAGAAAGTTGTTCGGATCTTTGTCTTCGTTTTTTTGCAGATTTTGGACCGTTTTATTATTTTCTCTTAATTCCCGTATGTATAACTTCATTGTTGTGTCCCTTAAAAAACTACGAAAATCAAAATTCACCATTGAGCCCGACCTCGATTTCCCCTTCCGCTTCTTCAACGCCGAATAGTGTTGCTTTAGCTCGACGTTGGCCTAAATTAGATCGTGAAGTGCCGTACTCCCGTATTACCGTAGTCAGCCTCTCCACCTTTCCGTCCAGGCTCTCCATTTCGGCTCTTTCGTGTCGTAGAATATCACGAGATTCCGCCAGGCTTGTCGTTAACTCTTCTAGATATGCAACTTTCTCGGAGAGGAGTTTCTAAATTATCTAAGTTTAGGTTTCAAGGTGCATTGAAAGTTACCTTTAATGCGTCGGCTTTTAGGGAATCTACATTTTCCGAGACTGCAGACCTGAAAATTTATTTCTCTCTATCTTTCTCTCTTTCTCCCGCTTTCTCCCTCCCTCTCGCTCTATCCCGTTCGCCCGCCTACCTTGGTGGCTCCAGTTTTACAATTTCTGCTTTCCCAAGAGGACTTTTCGCTTCAGGGCTAAATTTTTCCGATTATACCGTTATTGTCTGGAGTACTGTGGCGTCATTTGTACAGTTCGTAGCTCGTTTTCGGCTTCTTCAATCTGTCGGTGGAGTTGCTCGATTCTGGATGGCTAAACCAGGCCTGTGATTCTAGTCGCTCTCTCTCACTTTCCCGCTCTCTTGCTTACTTTGCATCTTTGGCTATACAATAGTCTCAAAAAAAAAAACGGGAATGGCATTCGGCTAATCCACAAAAATCACTGTAAATCGTCACTGACCTGTTGCTCTCGGCTCTTTTTCGGCCTTCCGGGGGCGGGTTTGTGATTATTTGGAAGCCCTGAAAATGTCGAGGAAGGGATTATCCAGATTATAAAGTCCGCCTCACCATTGCCGGAAATCATCTCCTTCTTCAGTTCCGCCATCTTGGCATGCGCGGCTTCGAGTCGGAGACGGGCCTCATTTTCTAAAAAGTGGTTCTGGGATACTGGCTCGCTATGGTAGGGAAGCGCAGCTTGGCCTGAGAGGATATAACAAGCAAACTAGCTATTTTTCCTCTGGCGTACTGTATCGGAACAAAACTTCACGGATGGGGTACGCAGCAACTAGAAGAAACATTCGAAATTTTGCAAAATTAGTTGAGCTAAATTAGTAACTAATGAAAAAAATATCTATTCAAAAAATGGCTTACTTTTCTCCTCCCATTCCACGCCTTTTTGGCGATGCTCGTTTAGTCGACCCATCAGGATGGCATTCTCATCATGAGCCTTCTGGACCTCGTCTTTCAATTGTTCCGCCGTTTCCGCCGCCACTTTCGCTTCGGCTTCCGCTTTCTTGACCTAAAAATTTTTTTCTCGCTTCCTCGTTCTCTCTTTTCTCTTTCTTCTCTCTTGCTATCTCTCGTCTATCCTCCTCTCTCTCGCTCTCTCTCTCTCTCTCTCTCTCTCTCTCTCTCTCTCTCTGCTTCTCGCCCTAAACTGGCACCACAACCCGCATACATGAAGCACCTACCTCTTTCTGTAATACTTCGCGCTTTGCATTTCCGGTTTTGATAGCGTTTTTGTTCTCGCGAAGGACTCGACGCTGAAATTGATATATTTTGATAAAATAGAATGAGGTTATGTTTTTCAAAACTAGCGAAGTTTTCCGTGATTTCTTACAAGCTCCGTAATCTCTTCATCCAGCTGCATATTCACGCGATCCAAATGATCGCCCATTTTGTCTTGATATTTGCTGAGACGCGTCTAAATGTTTTTTATTGAGATAACGGAAAAATTAGCTTAAATAACTTTGTCAAGCTTGCCTTACATGATTTGGTCGAATCGAGGTGATGTCCGCACTTTTGCGCTCTTCTAAATTTACCGATTCTTCGAAGGTTGCATTTTTAGCCTACCGTTCCTGGCCATAAACCAGTGGCTGTATCAAAAGCTGGGAAGTATCAAAATTCTCGTATTACCAGAAACGTAGAAGTTTGGACGTTAAAAATTCGAAAATAGGGGAAAATTCGTAACGTGGCACGACCGGGCCGTTCCGTCGCCTACGCCTCCTTGCCGATGTCGTCATAGTGATCGTCCGGAAAGGGGGTTGATTTTTCCTAGATTTCCGCACTAAAAATACATCAGAAAAATAGGCCCAGAAAAATGCGGCTCAGGGATCGAAAAAAAAACATTTTAAAGGGAATTTGGAACAATAAAAGATCAAAATTCTGAGACTTATTCAATGTCACGAATTATAAAGGCGTAAGGAGCCACAATTTTTAGGGAACGAGGGGAATTTTTCTATCTTCCTCTCTATCGCCGGCTCAGTCACTCTCTCGCTCTCTCTCTCTCTCTCTCTCTCTATTTCCGAAGACGTCAGAATCCCTGTTTGGACATTCTATTTGCAGGTCCAGCCTGGAATAGTAGCCACCCGTTTCGTCAATCCCCATTTAGGTAGTCAAACGCCACAGGAAGGGTGGCGTGCTTTTTAGGGGCTTTCGATGGGGTGCTAGCGATTCTGATGATGAGTAGCTAGGGGTATCCCAGTTCCTTTTAGAGACAAGCCCGAGAAAACGCGATGTTTCCGGGGCGGGGGAGGCCCTAAGTCGTGGGGCTTTATGGAATATAAAAGGTTCCTCCAATCGTGACTCCAACTTCAGGTTTACAGGGCCAATGCCAGGCGGTTATAGCAAATTTTTTTTGTCTTTTGATGTTTTTTCTAAATTTTTAGGAAAATACCGTACTCCGTAGCGAGATTTTGACAACATAGTTCTCTTTAGAAGCGATCCACGCTATTCGAATTAGTTCGAACACTGTATTTCCATAGCCGCCAGTTTTCCGATTTTAGAGCTGAAAGCGCTCTAATCCGGATTTCAGAAAAACATCACTTTATCTAGAAAAATTTTCTTTACATCCTTTATATTCTCTAATCCGGAAGGCATCACTTCCGAGAGTTCCGTATCTATACTTTGTACCAGAATTTAAGACCGCGGCTCTACAATCAAGATCCTGTTTTATTTTTCTCACTATTTGCCAGACCTTCACAGTTACTGTAAAATTAGGGTGTTTTTCTAGGGTCCTCAACATCATTATCATGCAGACGTCCGCGATCCTTCTCCTGGCCGCTTGCGTCGCGTGTGCCACTGCGTTCGCTTTCAACAATGAGGACAGACCCCAGGGTATGAGGGATTCTAAAGGGACCGTGCCAGTTTTTACACGAAATGCAAAAATTCTACGGCCCTCCAAGTTAATTCGAAATAGTCTTTACTACTTTACCTGAAGGGAGTCATAGCTTTCAATTTAATGCATCATCCCTTTTTCAGCCTTCGCCTACTTGGGAAATGACGGCGGAGCCCTGCGGTCGTCCTTTGCAAAGCGATCTGAGCCCCGTAAGTCCTTTAGAATAGTCTTTTGAAAATTTCGACTGTATCCACGTCACTATTATTCAAGAAATCCAAGTTACAAAGTTAAAAATTTACGTCAGACACGCCAATTTTCAGAAAAGTTCGCCTTCGCCAGCCCCGACCAGCTCCAGAACGCCGAGCGATTTGCGTTTGCCTTTGCCAAGCGAGGTAGGTATTTTTATGCCTGGTTTCCAGTTTAGTTTCGATTTAATTTCAACTCAGTTTTAGACGGCGACTTCAACGAGTACCAGCGATTCGCCCGGGCCCAGAAATTCGCCAAATTCGCATAAGCATACGAAAATTTAAAATATAGCATTTCAAGAACTGGTGGTGGAGAGCGAATAAATTGTTTAAAAAATGCCATCTTCACATAATATTACTCAGAGAGAGAGAGAAAGAGAGAGAGAGAGCGAGAGAGCGAGAGAGAGAGAGAGAGAGAGAGAGAGACCGACGCGAATTGGAAAATTTTTGTTGTAATTTGCATTTTTCTCAAAATCTTCATCCGAATAATTAAAAAATTTATTGAAAACCTAACCATCGTAAAATAGCACAGCGCAAAACACCAAAGATTACAATAAACTTATTTAAATAAACGAATACAAGTAATGCAATGAGGCGGGCTGATGTGGGGGGTAAAGGGGGTGGAAGAATCGATTGTAATTGGGGGGATACCTTGTTCAGCAAAATCCAAATAATAATATAACTTATAATGGCCGTATGGATGCATGGGAAATATCATAATAATATAGGAGGCGATCTAGTGAGGTATATTTTGCATAAAATTACCACGAGAATTCCAATTCGAAACGGCGACGCCGGACACGCAATGCTAAAATGAGGACCAGGAGCGGGACCAGGAAAATTAATGGGAGCGTGGGGGAAGGGCTAGATTTGAATCGCTAGAAGCACTAGAGGTTGCTTTATTTGGGCGCAATTATTTGTTTTGATTTGCATTTTTAATTTAATTAAAAAATCCATACTTAAAATTTAAAAACGTATTTTGGCAGGCTACACGGATCTGCGGGGCGGAGACACGTACGGTTTTCTGAAAGGACTGGGGCAGGGTGTGGGAGGGGAATTGAATTTTTTTGGACTTAGTTTTTATTTCAACTTTTGTGAATTTATTTTATGAAATTGTAGTAAAGTGAAGTTTTTTAACTGGGGAGGTCGCGCTAAAAAAAGTGGATTTTGACTGAAATCGAGGATTTTTTTGGGGGACGGGGGACAATTGGATACTCTAGCATTTTTCTGGATTCCGCAGCAATACTCCGAACGGAGTCGAGGAGCATGGTCAGAACCATCATTTCAGGCCTATGAGAACGAGGTGCACAGCTCTTCCTGCACTTGGAACGAGCGGAGGACCTGAAAAAAAAATCGGTCAATTGAGTGTGGATTTTGCCTTTGAAAATTTCATGCAAATTTAGCTGTTTTTTGAGAAATCATGCAAAAGTAGTGATGAAGCCACCTATTAGCTTTGAGTCCAGCCCTGCAATAATTGTATTTTAACAAAACGAACCTTATCAATCTGCTGCAAGGCACTCTGGAAGTTGACGGCCACCCAGCAAGGCGTACTTTCGATATTCTGGCGTCGGTAATCCTTGCCGAACCCTTTCAGGAACGCGATTTTGACGATGCAGAAGGACTGAAAAAAGTTCCAGATTTATTGGATACATTCATTTCTAGTAAACGATAGATATTATTTTCCAAATTTTTCGGCAGATTCTTCCGTCGTCGTCTTCGGGTCTTCCGGCTAACTTAAGCAAGGGATGGCCTCAAAAAGGAAGATTTTCTAGTTATCAGAGGCTAGATGATGCTTTAATGAGGTAAAAATACGGTATTTCCGGAATTGGCTAATCCCTAATGATCGCTGCTATCCTGCCCATGAATGTAAATACGGCACCTTAAGCTGTCCAGCTTTAAAAGTAAACAAATTCGGATACCTTAACAAATTCGAAAAGTTTGACCTTCAAAATCCCCTCAAAATTAAGAATAAGCGCACCTGTAACCGGAAAACCGCTTTGTAGCTCATCTTCAGGCTGTCGAGCTTCTTCTGGAACACCGAGTCGCGGTGGACGCAGATCTTCGCTCCTTTGCTGAGTCGATAGACAGTCCAGGGGTGGTCCCCGGAACACCAAGACATCAGCGGCATCTGGACGAAAATTGGCATGTCGCCAATCACTTGAACTTCGACCATGTCGTCCATTCGGGTTAGTTTGAAGCCTTCGCCTGGAAAAGGCAAGATTACGATTGAGATCAGAAACTCGAAAAAGTGGCAAAAGTCAAAAATCAGTTGTTCGAAAAATACTGTTTATAAAAAATAAATTTTGTTTCGTTGATTTTTAGGTTTGCCAGGTTTCAATATATAAAGAAATCAACCGGTCGAAATTTCATTCATTTGAAAATCCATCCGTTAATGTCGAGAAAATGGAATTTCGAGGCGGAATTCGACCTAGCTAATTACGACGTCGCGATTTTCGTCAAAATAAAAATACGTCCACTGCGGTGCTCAAATTGGAATTCAAGACCTACCAATTTGCTGTCGGATCTCTACAGCCATCGTGTCGCTCTTCGCAAAAGAGATGGTTCCCAGGGAAAACCTGAAAATTCATAGTCTGTTAGCTCCTAGCGCTCGCTCTCTTTCTTTCTCTCTCTCTCTTTCTCTCTCTCTCTCTTAACTAAAAAACTTACCGATCAGATTCATTTGTGGCGCTATAGCCATCGACGTAGACGACATTGTCATTGGAAGAGAAAGGAGCTCCGATCTGAAATATTTTTGTAAGTTCTATTGCTATCCCTCCTCCTTTCTATTTCTCTCCCTCCTCTCTCTCTCTCTCTCTCTCTCTCTCTCTCTCTTTCTCTCTATCTCTCTCACCTCTTGCCGCTCCTCATAGTACTGGATATGACACCAATTCCCGAAATTTCGCGTGGACGGCGGCGGCATTTGGTGCTAAATCCGAAAGTTATGAAGTTCCAAAACCCATTGGTAAGCTGAAACGCTATAATCCTCATTTATACAAAGCTTATAAAAACTTTAACTGCCCAAAAATCTACCGAAAATCGAAGGTAAAACTTTTAGTAGCGTAAGTAATAAAAAAGCTATAAAAAGCCCAAAAATAAAAATATTAATAAGGTGTTAAAAGCGATTACCATGCTGCTGTTACCAACAATCGGTATTGGAGACGTCGGACGGAGGCTGGGGACTTGTGTTGGTGGAGGTGATGGGATCGGGACAGATGGCGGAGCGTCTCGTTCCATCGAAGGTCCGACACCATACGTCTTCAGCCGTTGCCGAGGGGTTGTAGGTTCGTTGTCTTCAACTACCGGCAGCGGCATTGGCATATGGGAGAGCCTGGGCGGCATCCGTGGAGGCATCGGGGCCACCGGGTAGACTTGAGGTCGGGACCGGACCTGGAAATGAAGATTTAGATAATAAAACCGGTAGCACTTTTAAAGGTACAGTTATATCATGAAAAAGGTCGCTGTCACCACGCCTTTAAAACCGCGGAGACGACTCACCGCAGTTCCGACATTAGGCGCCGGCGGTGACTCGAGTTGCATCCGGTCGAAGGGGACGGTCGGCGAGCTCAGCGTGCCCATTTGGCTGGTGGAGGGCAGCTGTCCATACGGCATGTATGGTGGCACCGGCGGCGGTTGGAACGGGGCCATCATCGGCGGGGGTAGGTTGAGGCGCGGCTGGGAGTTCAGATCGAAGTCGACGAAGGGGTCTGAAAATGAAGTTGTACAAAATTTTACTCAACGGCAACAGCTAGCCAGCCGAGAGAGAGAGAGAGAGAGAGAAAGAGAGCTCGAGCTCGAACTTACCGTTTTCCGGGCCGCCATTAATTCCCGACTGGTCGCCGGCCTGGCGCTGGTTGTCCTCGTTGATCAACTCAAGAGCGTCCGCCAGGTCTGGAAAAATAATTTTTTTTAAAGGTTAGAAAATTAATTTTTTTGCGGTTTCGCTTTTCTTATACAGAATTTTAAAAAATAGGTCTGAATCGTAAGAAAATTGGCACCCACCATCTCCAAACAATTCGTCCATTGCACGCGTGGGGATCCCCGCATTTGCGGACGGGGCCGGGTCGGCGGCTGGCGGCTAAAAAAATTTGTTGAAGTTGCTGATTCGCTCGCTCTCTCTCTCTCTCTCTCTCTCTTTCTCTCTTTCTCGAACTTACATGCGGGGTCGGCGGCGGGTGCGTGGACGGCGACTGCGAATAGGATGGATCTGGAAAGTTATCGGTTAGGTCGTAATTATGCAATTGTGGTATCTAATTTTTCGCTTATTACGTACTTTAGATACCTTAATTCTAGAGTCAATTTTGGCATTTTTAGGACGCGATCTAGACCAGCTTTCGTCCCTAATTTTGCTACCCCCTAATTTGCATACTTCCAAACAGCGACCGCTGCGGCGGGGGGAAATACGTTGGCTGGTGTACGGGGTATGGGTAGGACATCGACATGGGTGATGTTGTAGGTGGTTGGGGTGGTGGTGTACTGTATTTGGTACTGGTAGCTGAATACGAGGTGGTGACGGGCGGACGGCTTTGGCGGCCCGCTTCACTCGATGCCAATGGGCGTCCGAACGAATCCACGCTACAAGGCGAGAGATAGAGGGGGTGAGGGAGACGGCGAAAGAAAGAGAGCACAAAAACATCTTCAAGAAATAAAAAAAAATAAAAAAGGCTGAAATGGGAGGATAGAAGTGGCGATTGGAGAGAGAAAGAGCAGGAGAGAGAGCGCGCGCGAGAGAGAAAGAGAGATTTCAAAAATTTCAATTTTGAAACGCCGAGAATTGACCTTCTAGCCTCAAAATTTATATCAAATCGAAAACCCGTATTTCGAAAAGGCAACTTTCGGGGGTAATTCCTGGTTTCCATAGCTGCTAATTTGCGTCGCGATGGACCGATGGAAAAATTAAAATCGAGACTTCGAATTGTTTTTGGGGGATTTGGGAAGGGGAGCGTTTTATAAAGTATAGATTAAGTGAAGAAATGTCAGGAAAAGCGGAAACGGCATGGCATTAAGATTCGAAGGGCGCTGAATGCAGCGGACCTTGAGCGGAAATAGAAGCGTGATGGAATTCAGATCAGGATTCAGACCCAAAAAAAAGTTACTTTCTCGAAAATCTAATAATGAATGCTATATCCGGGAATATAAATAAGAACTAAAAGAATAAAAAACCTGTTTTCAACAGCCAAAAAAGCGTCAAATGACATCAGTATTTTCGCAACAAGCTGATTCACCAAAATCTTGTGCAGGGTTCGATCGAGTGGGCCAGGATTCCCATGACCACCTCCAGGTCGGCCGACCACCTCCAGGTTGGCCGCGAAGCGGCCAAAAAAAATTTGATTTTTTTTAATGTGTGATTGATGGATAAAGTGTTTTTACGTTTGTTTTGTGTCAAATGAATGGTTGGCAGCTAGAAACTGGAGACGGCAGCATCTAACCAGGCTAAAAGGCAGAGCGGTGAGGGAAGAGACGAAAGCAGACAAGGCCGAGGCATTGGCGAAAATGCTGACATATATTGCTTTATGGATATTCTCATGGATTTCTTGGTCATACCGGGTCGATCCGGTGAAACAGCCTGCCGGTAAGCGAGATAATGTAGACAAAGACTGGATTTTATTAGAATTGGAAATCGAGGTGAGATAGGACACCGCGAGCCTGCGACTGCAACCCTTACCGAGATGCGCACCAAGATTTACGGGATTGATCGCGAGCATGCATTTCGATAACTATCCGGATGCGCAAGATCATTGCCAATTCCTGGCATTAGAAGGAGAATGTAAAGGAGGACTGGGTGTGCAATGGCGGCGTTAGCAAGGGAGCAACATCCGGGAAAGAAGAAGGGTTCGATCCGATTCTAGGTAGGTCCCAATGACAAATGGTGCCGGAAAATTCCTCAATTACAGGCGTCGAGCCGTTCCGAGGGGATGATGACAACTCACAAGGGAACCACAAGTTGGCACGGTGGAATTTCGAAAAACGCTCGCGGCTACCCCTAGGTTTTCGACGACGGCGATTCCAACGCGCTAGTCAGAATTAGCTAAATCGACCTGTGGACAGAGATACAGCACTTCCGGAAAATCGTCGATTTACATTCGGAGGAATTAGCATTCACCTCAGGGTTTATGAGGGCTTCCCATCTCAGAAGAACCACCAGTTGAATGGCCGGGTGGTAAGCGGCTAGCTTGTTAGGATACTGACCAGGGTTCGAATCCCTTCACGACTTTTTTGTTTTGCTTTTTGGACGGAAGTTTCGATTTTTTCCCATAGTAAAGCTTTTATTCGTTGGTGATAAGGCCGATTCCTGCAAAAACGTTTTGAAATTGCATCTTTCATGCGACGGCCCCTTTCAAACGAACGAGTAGCTTTTACGAAGCTTGTAGTTTTGCTCAAAGTTCCGTCCAAAAAGCAAAACAAAAAAGTCGTGAACGGATTCGAACCCTGGTCAGTATCCTAACAAGCTAGCCGCTTACCACCCGGCCATTCAACTGGTGGTTCTTCTGAGATGGGAAGCCCTCATAAACCCTGAGGTGAATGCTAATTCCTCCGAATGTAAATCGACGATTTTCCGGAAGTGCTGTATCTCTGTCCACAGGTCGATTTAGCTAATTCTGACTAGCGCGTTGGAATCGCCGTCGTCGAAAACCTAGGGGTAGCCGCGAGCGTTTTTCGAAATTCCACCGTGCCAACTTGTGGTTCCCTTGTCAGACCCGAGCGAGGATGTTGTGGATATCAGTCCCGAAGAAGCCTTAACCTATTCTGGGCACCTAGGGGTCCGCAGGTTAATACCGCCCGCTGTTTGTATCGATTAAGCCAACCCCGAGCCAAATTATGTCTATTGCGGCTAAAATTCACCGTTTTCTCCTCTCTGAAAATCTATCTAATCAAAAATATTTTTGTGTAGTAGCTCAAAATGTTGGCATAAAGCGTCTCTATCACATGTCAAAAATTTAAAACCGTATCTTATTATTTTGACAACCTCCAGGCCCATTATCGACTGATTTTGGCCGAAAAGTGCCATTTTTGGATTTCCAAAAATTCCGTTTAAGGAAAATATTTTTTTGTTGTACACCAAGATGTCGGCATTAACGATCGTTACAACATATAAAAAATTCAGAACGATTACTTCTTATTTTGACAACCTCCAGGCACTTTATATGCTAATTTTGAGCAAAAAATGCGGTTTTTGGGTTTCGACAAAATCGCCCTATCGAAAATATTTTTGTATTGTACGTCAAAATGTCGGCATTCAGAGTCTCTATAACATATCAAAAGTTCACAACGACATCTTATTATTTTGACAACCTCCAGGCCCTTTTCCCAGTTAACCCAACGCTGGATTTTCCGGGCCCCTGAAAAAAAGTAAACCTGGAGGTCATATCTAAAATCTTCCTGAGATCGATTTTCCCCAAACTAAGGGCTGCAATCCATAGCCAAGGATACGATCTTATTTGGGTGAAACTTTTAACCCGATCGGTTCAGTAGTTTTCGAGAAATCCCACTTCGAAAAAAAAAGTTATGGGAAAACGCATGGGAGGCCATTTTAAAGAAACGCTTTTAACTCAAAAACTTTATATTAGCGTCCCAGATCTTTTTTACTCCTCTTATCTCCTAGGTTCTTCCGCATCCATTGCCATCTTGCGTTTTTCCTTGCCGCGTCTATCAACCGAGATAACCTCATGGGAAGCATGGGTTTTTAATGGGAAAATCTACCTGGCTGCCAAAATACCTATTTCCGCCCGGCGTTTGACCCCATTCTGCATTTTAAAGGTTACAGAGGTCTTCCTGATCCATTCTCTAGCAATCCCGATCGATATTTTTCAAAAAGCAAAAAAATTTGTCGCGGCGGGGATTCGAACCAGGGACCCTTGACTCGTCAGTTTCTACTTACCCCCCGGACCCATTCTGCATTTTAAACCTTCCAGATGGCTTCCCGATGGATTCTCCCGTAATTCCGTTCTATAATTTCCAAAAAGCAAAAAAAAAAAGGTTGCGGCGGGGGTTCGAACCCGGGATCCCTGACTCGTTGTCTTCTTCAATGATTACGTACAGCAGAGTCGATTACTGGCCGCGAAGCGGCCGCCAAAAATTTTTCGACCTTTTTTTGACCACCTCCAGGCTGAATGACCACCTCCGGGCCGCCGAACAATTTTTTTCCCATGCAAATCGAACCCTGATCTTGTGGTATCGAAATGATGGCGTTTCTTTTCTCTGGGTGTAATGATGCACAAATCGAGTAGAGATCTCTAATAGAGAGTGAGAGAGAGTGAGAGAGAGAGAGCGAGAGAGAGAGAAAGCTCGAGAAAAATCACGTCGGCACTCGAAAACTCGTACCGAATAGGGGTCATTGCCGGCGCGAGGGCGCCCGAGTTTACTATCAATATTTTGGTCGTTCCCAGGGTTTTCCCTGTCCCTTATCACGACCGGGGGGTTTTGAAGTTGAGGGGGAGGGGAATGGAAACAGCCCGCAGATCATGTGATCTCCCATGTCCAAAATACGAGTAGTTTGGGGAGGTAATGGTATAGTATACGTATAAGCCTATGAGCTTAGGATTAGGAATAGGCCAGACTTAGGGGTTAGGCTTAGACGCTGAGCATTAGGTTTAGGTTTTTAGCTTCAGCCTAGGCTTAGGCCTAGGTTTAGGCTTAGGCTCGGGCTGAGGCTTAGGCTTTAGGGTAGGCTTCGCCTAGGCATAGGCGCAAGCTAAAGCTTAGCCTTCGTTGAGGCTTAGGCTTAGGCTTAGGCTTGAGTTTAGGCTTAGACTTGCGCTTGGCTTAGACTTAGGCTTAGGCTTATGCTCAGACTTAAGAGAGTAGCTTAAAGGCGCTCTGACACAAACTTCAAGTTGCCAGTGCAAGCAATGAAAATTTTGAAGTTCTCAATACTATTAATTACCCTCCATTCAACGCTGAACTTAAAAAAATCCAAAAACGTGACCACAGATCGCCGTACTTCCGCGCAAACAACTCAAGACTGGGAAAAAAGTTGAATTTGGGTGTGTGGAAAATATAAATACACCTCCCGGGTGTGGGGGTGAGAGCCAAAAAAGGCTAGAATGAGGAAGAGAGAGAGCGAGAGAGAGAGAGAAAGTGAGAGAGAGAAAGAGAGAGACAATTGGAATCAAGAAAGCATATTTAATTTTTCCTGCCACCCAGCCGTCCGTAATTGTTTTTGAAGTGTGCGTGCACTGGGGAAGGGCGAAAAAGGAGGATGGACGACTGGAACAAGCAGAAAAAAATCGAAAACACCTCGTCAGAACCGCGGAGGCTGGTTGATTCGAAGAATGGACTATGATTCCACGGGGTTCCTCTATAGGAGG